AAGTGCCTCATCTCTTTTCCTAAGGTTGAGTGGCCCCAGTACAATTGGATAATGGGTCTAAGTGACCCAAACAAGTGACTTGATTTCAATATTTTAACTGATCTAAGTAACTTCTGCCGAAGGACCAAGAAGTGGCCTGAGGTCCTGTGCTTCCAGGCCTTCTTTTCTCTGCACTCTCGTCCCTCTCTCTGTATTTCCTGTTCCCCTTCCCAAGTCCTCGTGGCTAGGGAAAATTCCTCCTCTCTTTCTGCTTTTGCACTTCCCCCTCCCCTGCGTGTCTACCTTTTCTGACCAGCCTGAGCACCTTGCCTCCTCTCCTACTTGTCCCACCTCCTTACCCCACCTCCTTACCCCAGCCACCCATGCCCTCCTTCCCCAGTCCCAACTGCTCTTCCACCTCCTGGCTCAGGCAAACCTGGACCCCTGCTTGCCTTTCCCATCAGTAAACATACCCAATCACATAATCCCCCTCTTCTTTGTCCTCTCCTGCCGGGGCCACGGTCCTAGCCATGTACTTCATCACCCAGTCAGTCCCTGACATTAGGAAGAAGCCAAAAAAGGTGGAGGTCAAGGCAGCCTTTAAAAAGCTCCAAGAAATGCTTTTACAATCCCCGATGTTTACCAAACCCTGATAAACCCTTTTTTCTGTTCACTAACAAGAAGCAGGGTATGGCCATCAGAGTCCTCACCCAGCCTCTGGGACCCACCTACTCTCCACTAGTGTATTTATCCAAACAGCTGGATATGGTCCGGGGGTGGCAACGATGTCTCCATGCCCTGGAAGACACAGCCGCCCTTACCAAAGAAGTTCTTAAAATCCCCTTGGGACAGCCCCTTCAGACCTTCTCTCCCTACAGGCTCCAGGATTTATTGTCCTATCATTTTCTCTCCTTACTCCCTCCGGGCAGGATGCAGGAAATCCATTTGCTCTTTCATGAAAATCCTGATTTAGGCCTGCACCAGTCCCCCTCGCTTAATCCAGCCACAGTCCCCTGCCAAACAAGGGCTGCCTTCTTGCCTGTAATGGTGGGCCTTAGCCTCTTCGGTCATGGCATCAGGTTTCGCCAGTGGGGCTTTAGGCCACAGCATGATCCAGCCCCAGCACTTTGAGGAGAAGCTCCAGCTGGCTACAGAATCCACCTTAGTCTCTCTAGCCTCCCTACAGTGACAGCTCACTTCCCTGGTGCAGGTAGCCCTCCAGAACCGAAGGGCCTTAGAGCTCCTAACTGCAGAAAAGGGTGGCACCTGCCTGTTCCTAAGGGAGGGGTGTTGCTATTATGTTAATGAATCAGGGCTGGTAGAACAAAACACAGAGACCCTCACCAAATTGGCTGAAGATCTTAAAAACCACCGGGGAGACAATGCTTCACTACTCTCTTGGTTCCCAAACCCCCTTCTAACCTGGATCCTTATTTTAATTGTGCCACTTGAGGTTATATGTTTCCTGTTACTAATAGGCCCCTGTCTTTTCAAATTTCTTCAGAACAGGACACAGGACACGACCAACATAACTGTCAACCAGCTACTTTTATACCCTTACAGCCCCCTGCCTACTGAACCTGACCCAGTGCACTCTGGCCTTTAATCCTTCACTGCCCCTGTCCAGCAGGAAGCAGCCAGCCAGAGTAATGTCACCCCATTATCATTAAAAAAAGGCCAGAATGTTGGATCAGGCACTGGTCGGGGGAAGAGGGGGGCATTAGGAACAGCCTTATTGGACCAAGACTAAGGTGACCAGATTTTAACATTGGTAAAGCGAGACACCATTGATAAAACTCATATCCCGCCGAAATAGCCACATGGCAGCTGAAAACCATATACCCTAGCTTGTGCATTCTTTCCAAAAATCGGGACATTTTTAAAACGCTGGGGACACAGGAAAAATTGTTAAAAATCGGAACTGTCCCGCCAAAAGTGGGACGTCTGGTCACCTTAACCAAGACAGCTAGCTTCCAAAGGGCTCCAGGACAATGCGCCATCTCCTCTGTATCAGGCGGAACAATCAAGACACCACTCTACCTCGAATTTCATGGATGGAGATGGCTTAAGTCCCTGCAGCTGCAGCTCCTGTCCCCTTCCTCCTTGTTTACCTTCCTGACCAGCTTAAAAACTTGCTCTCCACTGCAGATAGGTGTGACTTCTTGGGCCCCTGCTGAGGGCCTGTGCACCTTGGCAGGGAGCTCAGGACTCCCCCTCTCTCTCTGCTCTCCCCTGCCTCCCGGGCAGTTCCTTCACGGACTCCTTGCTGGAGCTGGTGAATCTCACCTGGGAACACAGCATAAACTTCTTTTCCTTCTCTCTGGCCTGGCCTCCGTTTATCTTTGCGGCGAGCCTAATACTCTTGTTCATTCCCCTGGGGGTGTTGCTATATGTCGATTCTTGAGATTGGTCCTAGATTCTGTGTGCCAAAAGCTCATGTCTGTACCAGTGCACATGCTCGGATCTAGCTGGGTTTTTAAGGTGGAACTGGGGTCATGATAGTGGGGGTGTGGGTGTGGGGGGAGGAATCATGAAAGAACTAGAGGAGCGTTATGTTTTGTACGTGCTATACTGCACTCTGGGTGACTCATCCCTTCCTCATGCGACTCTTCTGTGAGGGGATGTCCAATTGTCTACAGATGGGCTTTGGGTCTCCACTCCAAGCCCACTCATTTGCATCGGTATGATTGTTTTGGGTCTTCTGATGCCTGATACCTGATCCTGTCAACACCTAGTGTCTGGTGTGCCTCTTCCATGTGGGCTTTGTTGTTTCCTTGCTAATTGGGTGCTTGTTTAACTTAAAGCCTTTATCAACCTTTTGTCTTATTTATTCTGTTTCTATTTCATTTATTTAGACTCTAATCTTTATTATTCTTTTTTTCTGATTATTGTGGGCTATTTTTCTTTTTTCTAAATGTTAGAGATGGGTTAAAATCCTAAGAGACATGATTAATCTGTATTTCTCTTTGCTTATTGATATATCTAATTACATATGAGCAATTGATGGCCGGTTTCACAGTCAAGCTCTGGTCAGATAGATATAATCCTGTCACAGATAGCATTGTACTTTATGATGGACTTTGCAATCTCCTATTTGACAACAAATGCCATGCCATTCCTCTTGACTGTGTTTTCCCCAGCATTGTAAATCATCTAGTTTTCTGATTGTGGTAACTCTGCCCTAAACAAGAATTCCTGTACCTGGGAAGTGTTTTGTTTAGGGCAGAGTTACCAATCCCAGTTAATTTCAACTTGCTAATGCCTAGGATATAGATCTTTATTTGTTCTATTTCATTTCTAATGACTTCCAGTTTTCCTAAATTCATACTTGGTGCTTTCCAAGTTCTGATCATTAGAAGACTTTTGCAGCTGTTTCTTCTTACTTTGAGCCTGTGTCTCATCAGCTCGTGAAGATCCTGCAGGCTCCACTCCCAAAGACTACCAGACTCACATCACCAGGCACCTTGAAATCAGCTCCTCCTCTGTGCCCTCAGGCCTGAGGGGCCCATCCTTTGGGCACTACCTCTGATAATGTTCTTCCATGTTTTAGGCCTTCATTGTCCGACAGTGCTTCAAAGCTAAGCCTAAGGTTTTCAGAGGCTCTTTTCTTTGAAGTGGGGAGCCAGAGTCCTTGGTTATTCGTCCTTTGGTCTGGAAGCTCAGCTGAAACTTATTCCCTTTGGGTGACCTTGCTGGCATTTGAAATACCAGTGACATAGCTTCTAATATCACGGCAACACACAAGCCACCACATTAAGACAAACTGACCAAGAAGTGGTGGCAAGACCTCTTGAGAGTGTTGAAAAGAAAGGAGGTTAGTTTGAGGATGAAGGTGTGGGTTTGACCTGCCCCAGGCCACAGTGTTTTCAGTTACCTCATAGGCATGTGAAATTTGGACAGTGAGTAAGGAAGACTGAAGGAGGACCAATGTGTTTGAACTGTGGTGCTGGAGAAGAATATTGAAAGTGCCATGGACTGCTGAAAGGACAAACAGATCTGTGTAGGAAGACGTTTGGCCAGAGTGCTCTTTAGAGGCTAGGATGGCAAGACTTTGTGTCAGACATATTTCAGGCATGTTGTCAGGAGAGACCAGTCCCTAGAGGAGGAGATCATGTTGGGTAAAGTGGAGTGGGGCCAGCGAAAAAGAGGAAGGCCCTCAGGGAGATGGATTCACACTGTGGCTGCAATGGGCTCAGGAATGGGAACACTTGTGAGGATGGTGCAGGAAGGAACAGTGTTTCATTCTTCTGTGCAGTAGGTCACTGTGAATCAGAAGTGACTCGCTGGCATCTAACAACAACAATAACAAACGTTCAAAGAACAGGGAATCAACTACTGTTGAGTCTGGATTGTCCAAACCCAATTGAATGGGTCACAGACACTTCCCAGGTACAGGAATTCTTGTTTAGGGCAGAGTTACCACAGAGTTCCCTGTTCTTTGCCTTATTTCTTTGCATAAAATATGTTGTGGGTAGGTAGACGAGGCAGGACTGCAGGTCACTGATGGGACCCAGTCTAAGCGTGCGCTTCTGAGCGGAGGTGTTGCTCATCCACGAGCATATATTTTACAGGCATTGCCATGTCTTTGGGAGCAGCTTCTCTCGCCACATGGAATTGTGGGTAAGATGGTTGTGCAGGGCCCACAGGTAAATGGCGGGCTTCAGAAAGTGGTCCAGGTCAGGATAATGACCATTTGTTTATTGTTAGTGGCCCTAACGTGTCTTATGACTTATGGCAATTTATGAGGTTGCACAACCCCTAGAGGGGACAAAGAACTGGGATCGTTCCAGCCCACCTGGTAACTACTGGGCCTCCTGGGCTCCTGCTCATTGCTGGTGGGGGGCGTGGTAGGACACAAGCGGGTAAGATGTCCTTGGGGTTTACCCAGAAGGGCGTGGTGTCTGATGGATTGTGGATGAGACGCTCCCAGGCTTTGTGACGTGGCCCAGCGCCCTCTGACTAGATCACGTGGTGTCCACGTGGCCCACAGTCAGTGACCCAGCCGAGGGGGCCCGGGGGTCATGGAGAAGCCAGTGGTGCTGGTGGAGCCCAGTGAAGAATCCCTGGGTGCTCAAGCGAATCCCCGGCCGCCCGTGGAGAAAATGGTCAGGGGACCTGCCATGCGGCAGAGCTCGCGCTCGGTCCTCAAGGTGTCCCAGCTGCTGCTCCGGGCCATCTGTGCGCACAGAAGGCTGACCATGCCCACCCTCAGGAAGGAGCTGGGCAATGCTGGTTATGAAGTGAGCAGGAGGGTGGGCCGCCAGTCGCGAGGTGGCCCGAGCCGGCCTCAGGGGAAGGGCGCGCTCCTCCGGGTGAGCGGCAGCAACGCCGCGGGCTACTTCAGGGTCAGGAAGGTTCTCAGACCCAAGAAGAAGCCGGCTCGCAGGAGGCTGGAAGAATCCTCGGTTGGTCTGAGGAGGGTCTTGGCCACTCCCCGGGTCCTGCGGAGGCGCCGCACGCTGCGCAAAGCGGCCAAGAAGGCCAGGGAAGTGTGGAGGCGGGACGCGAAAAGGAAGAGGCTGCGCAAGACGAGAGGCAGGGGCCTGGTGCGTCCCAAGGCCAAGGTGGGAGCCAGACCCAAGGTGAAGGCCAAGGGAAAACCACGGACCAGGAAGGAAGCGCAGAAGCCGGACCCACGAGAGGACGGGAGAGCCAGCTCAAGCTCAAAGCCCCCGGAGAAGAAGAAGCAGGAGACGCCGGTGAAAAGGACCCCCCTGAAGCCAACCCAGGCCAAAACCGACCTCACCTCCACCTCGGTCGGCCAGGGCGTAAAGGCTGCTCAAAAGGCGTCCACTAAATTCGAAAGCTCCAAACCTGCAATGGAGACTCCCTAGGGGGAGAAGCTGCTTCCCCCTCGGGACACCACCACCCGAGGGGGCACAAATGCCGGTCGTCTTGGCTCCATGGGCAGCAGCTCCCACACCACTGAAATGGACAAACTATTTACAAGATCTTTCCATCACGCTGTGTCTGTTTCCTTGTTGAAGCTTGGGCGTAGGGTGGGGTGGGGGTGGGGGGGCAGTAAAAAGGGTGGGTGTGAAGGTCTGGCTTGTCCAAAGGGCGTTTGAGGCGAGCAGAAGAATGGGGCTGAGCTGCTTAGGCTGCCGCTGCAGGATCTAGGAACGGGCTTTTCAGAGGGAAAGAAGAAAACCAGGAGCTTCACCAGGTCAGACAGACGTGTTATTAAATCTAAATTGAATTTTGGGGAGGGGGCAAAATAAGGGAGGGGTTGGGGGCATCAAGGGGACAAAAGAAGAGAAGACTGGTCCCATTGACTAAAAGTGTTCGCACCTGAAATTCCTTTTAAGGAAACCCCTTCTCTCTAAAAAGTTTTCAGTTTTTGCTGTAAATTGGTAACTTGTCCCCAGCTGAGATAGTTTGTGAAAGGGTGGGCGGGCACCTACCTGTGCCCATTGCTGTGTGTTGAATATATGTACACATTACTCATGAATGGGGTGGTGGTGTGCAGGAGCAGAAAACTGTATTACTGGATTAGTGCCTATGAAACCAGGATTCTAGTCCGAGTTTTGGGACTCTGGCCTTAACTGAATTATCGCTGAACCGTTCTGCTCTGGGAAACCTTCAGAGTGGGCTAGCATCGTTTAGGTGCTTTCAGTTGTCGGTAAAATGCTGAGGGGCCCCGGGGCAGGGAGCTAAAGCATTGTGACATGTACTTTACTTGTCAGAGTGCAACAATAAGGAAATAGCAGTTGGGAAAACACTAACTTCTGAGAAAGGGAATTATGAAAAATTATAGGGTGCATATCAGGAATATAAGGAGATATAGACAGCTAGATAATATCTAGGTGTTTCGCTTAAAGTACAGCAATATATAGATAGTGGAGAAAGCGGGGAGGTGGCTGCCTAGTGGATAAGCTTTGGGCTGCCATCCACAAGATCCACAGTTTGAAACCTGCAGTCCCTCCGTACAGAGTTAGTTTTGGAGACTCACGGGGCAGGTCTACCTTATGCTATCGGGTGGCTATGAAGTGTCATCGACTCCATGACAGGTTTTAGTTTAATATTTGTCTCCTCACACCTTCAGAAGCATTTCTTTAAGTTCACCCCAGCAACAGCAAGATGCATTCAAAAAGTCAAGGGATTTGAAAGAGCAATGAAGATTGAGGGGGTTGATATCAGGAGGGTTGGGGTGATATTGGAAAGGGCATTGGTAGGAAGGTAAAGAGAAGATGTAGGGATATCAAGAGTCTGCTCTGGAGCAGGCTGGGAGGTCTGGGGCTCGATGAACCATCACAGCTGTCCTTCTCCACCTTTCCCCAAGCTGCCCCCTCGCCGTTCATGTATTTCTTTGGGTTCAAGATAAGACTTGTCAAAAGTGTATTACTTCAAGTTGAAAGTAATAGCAAGAGCGAAGGCAAGCATAAGAAGCCTGGACCACAGGTTGGGTGCTGTAAAGAAAGCGGCAGAGACAGCTTTGCTTACACCGATCACGGTGAACCTGGGTCGCTCTCAACATGTCACCTGGGGTTCAACTCTCTGAGGGGCTTACAAGGGGACGTCCCTAGCACGACTCTGGGGTTGAGTTCATCTTTAAAATGTGTGCTCAGGCACCTGGATCCCATAACCCTAGTGCAGCCTCTGTGCTCCCATCGGCTCTAGTCTGCAGGTTGGCTGGCGAGCCGCCTCTGGTCTGTGGCACTTTCGATCCCCGCACCGCGTGCAGCCAGTTGCAGCAGGGCCGCAGGAAGTAGAGCTCACCCCACCAGTGGAATCTCCAGGCAGGTTTCTGATGAGAGTTGAGGGACAGAACGGAGTCGGCATGAGAAGGAAGATCATCTCTGGCTCTTCGACAGTCACCGGAGCTGCTTGGTGCCCTCTACTCGGTTGCAGCCTTTTTATTCGGGGAGAAAAGTGTGGATTGGAGGGAAACGTGGAGAAGGGGATGGGACCGAGAGGGAAGTAAGTCAGTGATACAGCCAAGCACGTTCTTTGTTCAACTAGCAGAGACCCTAATGAGCTTAGTAGATATTCCATAGTTAACGGCAGTCCGAGGGAACCAAGTCAGACAGTAGCCGGAGTTCCCGTGGCCATGGAGCAGCAATACCGTACCCAGTGCTGGGTTGGATCGAATGTGGACACCCCAGCGACAAAACTTCCCGGCGGAGGGTGCACTAGAGGGCTAAAGACTCCCCGGGAGCCAGAGATCATATTTATGCTGGGTTTCCCCCAGGCTAGGGGAGCCGCCCTTGACACACAGGCACTCAAAAAGTTGCCTATCTTACCTTCTCAGGCGTTCTCATAGCTAACAAACCTTGGGTGGAGGAAGCTGGGACTTGGAAAAAATAAATACCTGCAGGACGCGGGCATCCCCTACATTGACAAAAGAAAACGTAACACAACAAAGCATGCATCCTGGTGGTGCTGTGGTTACTGCAAGGTCTGTGAACTGCAAGGTCGGCGGTTTGAAACCACCAGTTGCTCTTCGGGAAGGAAGACTGGAAATTCTATTCCCACAGGTGCAGTCCCGGCACCCAGTGGGGTCCTTGCGGCAGCGAATTTGCTTTTGGAAAGCAAATTGGGAGGGGAAGCTGAGAGGAGGACGCGCGCCGCCTTTTGGACAAATGGTGGCAGTGGCAGGAAAAGGAGAGAGGAGGGAAAAGGAGACTGAAGACAGCCGCAGCCTTCTAAGTGCCCCCCAAACCCTTTGACCTTGCACAAGTCAACACTGGTGGCAGGTTTTCGACGGCCGGTTGCGTTCTCTCTCGCGCGCCCTGGGAGAGGAGCAGGAGGCGGCGGCAAGACCACGGTGTTCAGACAGCTCTGCAGCCTGCGGGGCTCTTTTCAGGGTGGGCACGGAGCGGTGGCATTTTCCTCCCACGATTTTGAGGAAAAGAGAATGCCTTTTTGATGTTGGCGCTGCGGTGACTAGGCTACCACTTCCACCTGGTAAACAGTCTGGCTTAGAATCTCACCTGTGCATGGCATCCCTTTTCTAGACGAGCCTGGCTGTCTCCCACAGCCTAGGAGCACTCTGACAGGTGTCTGCCTTGTCCACGACCCCAAACACCCCCAACCAGTTGCCTTCCAGTCACCTTTGACCCACGGCAAATGGCGCTCCGAAGTAGATTCCAGGCCTTTTCTTCGGAGGTTCCTCGGGGTGGAACCAAACTGCCAACCTTTCGGCTCCGGGTGGAGTGTTTGTGCCGTCCGGGGCTCCTGATCTTGTCTGTGTTGTTCGTTGTCACGTCTTCAACTCAGGACGGCCCTGGGTGTGCAGCACCTTATGGTGCACTATAAGGCGTTTTATGTTTTTAACTTTCGATTGTGAGCATATCACAGGGCTACATTCAACACACAAGGCTACAAGTCATCCACGTGTGACTTCAGGGCACCCACTGCGTACAGCAGTGCCATCATGGCCTCCGTGTGCTGCCTGCTTCCCTTCCTTCTCGTTCCCAACCCTCTGAGTCTGTCCTCGTCGATGCTGCCCTTCTGACCTCCAGTGACGGGCGATACTAACATGAGGATGGGTTCAGTTCCAGACATGAAGGGTGATTAAGGGCTACATAGTCTTGGTATGTCCCACCAGTCTCTATCCATGCCAGTAAGTCTGCTCTCTTTTATGATTGTTTCTTTTCTTTTCTTTTCTGAGACAGACTTGTGTGTCTCAAAAGAATTTAAGTCAGTTTCACGTTTCCTTGTCCTCCTCTCATAACCACTCCACCAGTGTTTAGATCTGCATCACTCCCCTCTCCTTTGGATGGGGAGAGACCAGTCGCTGCACCCTGGATGACTGCTCCCAACACTCCAGTTGGTTCTCACCAAAGTAGGATGGAGAACACATTCTGGGGCACTGTTATGCCAACGGACCTTAGTGTCTGTCCCACGAGACTGGTCTTGATCACTCGAGCTCAGTGACATTCCCTCAAGGTATTGGGTTGTCTAAGTGGCTGTCACATTGTCCCCTGCATGCTCTACCACATTCTCAACTAAATTTCCAACAAAGGCAAATACACATTGAGTTAGTTAATTGTGCCAGCCTGGCTGATAATCACATGTGGGGCTGGTTGAAAGGCGGAGGGATAAATGGGTGGTGAAGCCTCGCCTTTCCAGTTCTCGGGTCTCTTGTTTTGTGATGGTCGCACCGGGTGCAGTTGCCTTAGCAGTTCCCTGCTTCAGCTGGCAAGATTGACTTCCTACAAGACAACCCCAAGGAGAAGCCGCATGGACCTATCCCGATGCAGCCCTGGGTGCTGGAGCAGCCGTGTGGAGACCCCTGCTAGTGCTGAGATGCTTGTTCGTTCACTGACTCAGCTTTCCTCCTGCAGTCGGCATCATTGCCTCTGTTTTGTGAGGTGGAGGACTTTGTGGACTGGTGTTGGGTTAATGTTGGACTTGTGGGCTTGGGCAGCATTGGGTTGGGATGTTTTCATGATGCACCTTTTCTTTACATAAAACTCTCTCTTATACATGAGTCGCTGTGGATTTGTTTCTCCAAAGTACCTAGACTAATACACACATATACAAATATCCTCTGTTAACCAATGTATACTCATGGGACTACTCTAACCCTCCCATCCCTGCTCACCCTGCTTGTCTATCCAATCATCTACTTGGAGAATACCGCTGCTGAGTAACAGTACTTGCCTCTATTGCCTTTAACTGTTGCACACCTCCCAGTATCCTTACAGGGTTAAAGGTTGTGACCTTACAGATTGCCAGGTCTGTATTTCTGAAGCACCTCTGGGTGGATTCAAACCTCCAGCCTTTTGGCTGGTAGTTAACAGCTTAACTGTTTGTGCCACCTAGGAACTTCCACCATGTCTATTATGCTTAGAAATCCCCACACAGTCCCTTATTGATCGCCAATCCAATTGTGAGGGTAGAAACATGGGCACAGCTAACTTCACTTTCTGCCTCCCTGCTGACTGGCCACCTGCTCTGCCTCAGAGGCCGAGCTCAGGTCTGGCAAAGGACCAGATAACTAGCAAGGGAGGGCTAGCTTCTCAGGGGCCAGTTGCACATCTTCCTTCTTGGGCTACGGGCGGGGAGTTTGCTCTTTTCTCTCCTAGATTTCTGAACCCAAATAGTATCAGAGCCCATTTTAGACAATCCCAGCCCTCATCAACCAAGGAAACTTAGTTCCTGAAATTAATGACTGCTCTCAGTCCTTTCACTGATGGAAAGGTTGGGAAAGACTCAAGATTGGAAAGGGGCGAGAAGTGAGGAACAAGCCTAGGGGGTTGCAGAAGATAAACGTGTAGCAGGTGTGAGGATCTCCTGCCCTTCTCCATTTGAGAAGGGTGAAGGAGCACCAGTTCAAAATGGAATTTGCATTTCCTAGCCAATGCCCTTAAATTTTAGCATGCATCAGGCATCCCGGTGGAATTGTGGTGGACTGGGATCTGGAGGAAGGACACTTGGGTTCTGAACAGAGCAGAGGTCCCAGAGGGGAAAGGAGACAGGTTCCTGAGGATGAACTTCCTGGCTTTACATTTTGTCCAGAGAGAACACAGAGACACTTAAAAATCCTTTTATTGAAAAGAGTAGAGAAGGCGTGGCAGTGGGAGTTGGAGGATGCAAGTTTGAGGCTGATTTCCCAGCTGGTGGGGGGAGGGAAATCACTCAAATCCACCCACCCATCTGATGGCTGTTGCTTTACTATTTTTGCTCACGGGGAGGTGGTGTTGGACCGAGGTAGAGAAAAGACAGGTACACCAGACACGACCAGAAGGGTTGTCCCTTCTGCAGAAGGCGCTTGGGCTCCGGGAGCCCTTTCAGTTGGGTGCTCTGACTGCACCTGTGCTCTGGGGGCCTCGCTTTTTCATCCTTACCATCCCTGGAGCAGATGTAAGGCGGGAGGTGGGAGGCTGCCAGCAGGTGGTGACTGAGAGGCGTGATGCCATGCCTCTGCTCTAGAAGAACTGCATCGAGGGCTCTTTGGTAGTAAGGAATGCCACCTTCCGTAAGTGCTTCACCAAGACTGGCGACAAGCTGTATTTCTCAACATGTTAGATCTTTTTAAAGTACAGAGTGAAATGTAAGCGATATCTTCTAGGCATTGACGACCATACCCTACCTTCACCTTCGGATCTATTGTTGAGTGATCGGAGCCCCTGTAATTCTTTACACTAACAAGGGAGTGACCATACTAGGTCAGGGTAACATTTCTTTGGACCTGGTCCAGCAATTCCATGGGCGGGCTCTGAACTAGCTAAATGTGTATGCAAAACTGAGTGAATTATTGGAGAAAATGTCCACTTTTTCCTCAAAAGTGAGTTTCTTCAGATTTTTAAAAGTAGCTATGATCCCCAAACAGGCTCTGAATCATTGCCTATGTATTAAGATGAGGCATGGTAGGAGGGAAATAGGAAATGGCCTGGTTCACTTTTACCACTGGAACCTGACACCTTACTATTTCCGGGGCATCTCCTAACACCAATCCCCAAAATACTCCTGTCTCTGAGGCCTGCCATTCTGCTGATCATTTTGCTCTATTTATATGAACAAATGCAAAGAGCATCCGAGGCAAAGAAGGGAGATGTTCTGAGCCATGTGTGGGGGGTGGAGGCAGGGCTGACGACATCCCGTCCACTCTAATGAGCCCAGTCAGCAAAGTGACTATTTTCAGCTTCGGTTGAGTTCAGGACTCTGAGGCACGGAGATTTACCCAGGTTTTCCTCCTCAGATGGGATATGGGGCAGTCATTAAAAAAGATGGTTGCAACTCACTTCCTCTTATCTCTTTGATTAATTCCATCAATTTTGATTGAGAAATAAATGCCGTGGGGAAACATCAGAATCTAAGCATTAAAGAGAAAACATCCCACTTTCAACCTCCTCGTTCCTTTCCCTCCCTAGCCACAAGCTGCTCTTACACACGAGGTACATTTTATGTCAGAAGATTGGTAGTGACACAATCATCAATAGAGAGAAACAATGACCGCCTTGTCAACTAACAGATACGAGAATACCTTTGTGACTCCTGGAATTATGAGTCTTAGTGTGAACACCTTTCCAGAGTTGGGAGACAAACCAACTGAGAAGCTAAGCCACAGCCATTTCCCCTGAAGTTCTGTTTCGGGGAACAAAGGAGCTACAATTCTGCCCTTTTGACTAGGCAATTGAAGTCAAACAAGAGTCATGACAGCAACTTGCAAGCACCATCATCCCTGCCCTACCTGCCTAGCACTGAACCCGCAACAGCCCACTCAGCACAAAGCCTGCTGGACATCAACAAGACACAGCTCACTTCACTGAGACCCTCTCTCCTCTCAGCCCCAAACCTCTGTGGCCCAGAGACTCAGAGCAGACCCAGGAAACCACAGTTAGGTCTTGATGGATCTCCATGATGGTGGGCAACTTAATCCATTACTTAGCCCTTTCCGCTCGGGCTCCCTTAGACAAGCAGAGGACTTCCTATCTTGAAACAGAACAAACGGAAAACCCCACACTCCCCTCAGCCCCAAAACACAGCCCCCAGAAAATCTAGCTTGTACAGTTTGCACTTAGCATGCTCTCTTCGAATACCCTGCACACTGGTATACACAGACACAAAAACACAGAGGGGTAGGGGGGTCTGTTCAAGGGGATAAAATTGGTATTTCTTCTGTGTGGGCCTGGGTCACCTGGGTGTGGAAGTGTCATCTCTTCCCACTGCAGTGTGATCTCTCAGCTGGAGAGATATGTGTGTGCAGATGGAGTGGACCGGGGTGGAGAGGTTTCCCTGTTTTTCAGCAGGTGATCGTGTGAAGTGTGGAGGGCTGTATGGGTGACAGGAGTAACGGTGACTGACCCACTGACCCACACAGCCATGAGGTCTGGCCCCCGGCTTTCATTTGGAGAAGCAAAGTGGGGCTCTGGACACCTGCTCACTGTCTCTTTTTGTGCCTATTTCCTCATCACTCTCTCACCCGGTGTTCACTAGCGAGTATCATTTGGGGTTACCGGTTCTATCGGACGTGAAATTGAGTTCTGAGGTCAAAGACATTTAGGAAACACTGCATTAGGAGAGGCTTACTGGTTTGCACTATTATAACATTTTCATAGCCTTTAGGATGTTAGTATGCATATTGTGCTAATCTATGTGCATGTGGTGTGGCAGGGAGAGCAAATCTAACCGTCATCATACCCAGAGTGATACTGAACAAAGGCTCCAACCAATCAAAATGAACCTCAGCTACAAATGGCTGCTAGTGCCGCCCCCTTGAAAACAGACTCAGGCTAAGTGTCAGCCTAGGTCGTATATACTGTTTCCCAAACGCTTTTGACCAAAGAACCCTATTTTTGGGGTAGTGCCTCACAGAACTGGTGAGAAATACGCTGCCCAATATTGGAACCTCATTTTTCCAGAGAGAGGGCTGGGGCTCAGGGGTCCCGCCACGGGGTACAGGCAAGGGGTGGCCCTGGTAGAGGTTCCTGGTAGCACCGGCTGATGGATTAGACCACAGCTGCAGAGAAATAGATTTCAAAAGACAGGGGTCCCTCTGTCCCAGCTGCTCCGGGGGGTTTGTCCTTGGTGGGTCAGCAGGTGCCTGTCCAGGTGATGTTTGCGGCCAAAACTCTTCTCACAGTGAGGGCACTGGAAGGGCTTCTCACCAGTGTGGGTCAACCAGTGTCTCACCAGGTGGTGCCTGCGGCCAAAGGTCTTCCCACACTCAGTGCACATGTGGCACTTGGGCACCGGCGGGGTGCGTTGCCGTTTTCTGGTACTGGGGCTCTCCCCAGCCTCGTGCGCGCTGCAGGATTTGCCTTCCAAATGCACTCTCTGGTGGCTGGCCAGATGCGAGCTGCATCGGAAATTCTTTCCACACTCAGAGCACCTGCAGGGCTTGTCATGCAGGTGGGTTTTCTGGTGCCGGATCAGGTGATGTCTTCGGCCGAAGCTCTTCTCGCACTTGAGGCAGCTGTAGGGCCTTTCCCCGGTGTGGGTCTGCTGATGCCTGGCGAGGTGGGAGCCCCACACAAACTGTTTCCCACATTGTGGGCATGTGTGGGGCCTTAGAAGGGAATCCATCTCTGTGTTACACAGAAGGTTGGAGAAACTATCCTCCTGAAGAAAAGGTGGGCCCAGCAGCATTCCTCGGGAGCTCCGGGGCGTGGAATCCCAGCTCTCGGCCCGTTCAGGATTCCAGAGAACGGTCTCTTCAGACACACTGGATAACATTCTGGGAGGTTCTGCTTCCAGTCCAGGGGTATCCCCTTCCTGCTCACTGCCATCTCCTGTCGAGAAGGGAAAATACCAACCCCGAGGGGGGCATGTCAGGGTGTCACCAGTGCCCAGGCCACAGATGCCCTTACATCATGACCACCAGGGCCACGCCTCCCCTCACAAGGGCCAGGAGAACAGATTCTAATGCACCAGAGTGTGCAATTGGTGCAGACGATCAGAGCCTCAGATTGGGAGACACTCCCCGAGCTTGACACCCAGCTCTCCTACTTCCCTATGCTCCCATTTCTTCTTCCGTAAAATAAGAAGAACAACACTTCTCTCTCAAGGTTGTTATCACATAAATAGCATAGTGCAGGCATCTCTCTTTTTATTATGCTTTGCAGCTATTACATTTCCCCCCCTTTTTTCTTCTACAAATCGAAGGTTTGTACTAATGCTGCACGGAGCTAAGCCTATTGAGGCCATTTTTTTAAATCCCCCAACAGCTTATGTTCACTTTGTGTGTGTGTGTGTTGGCAATTCTTACAACACTTCCAACATTCTCATGATGCTATCTATCGTACATGCAGGGCGCTCCAGTGTAGTCTAGACATGAAGTTTCTATGCACTGTGGCACTGAAAAACTTGTGTGCCGCCTCCCTTTCCTGTAGTGCTCCAGAAGTGAACCCATATAAGATGTGCCTGGACTTGCTGCAATGGTCGGAGCTCAGTCGATGGAGTCTGCTATTTTAGGGATTTCTGCTAATCACCTGCCTGAGCCATGGAAAGAGTGAAGGGGTAGGCTGTGGCCACCTGTCAAAAATACAGGCGACACACGAAAGAAGGAATGTCACTGTGCGTGGACAGTTACACCACTAACATTTACTAAAACCCTATTTTGTACCTGGCCCTGTGCTATTAAGGAATCCTGGTAGCATAGCGGGTTATGCATTGTGTCTCTGGTTGCAAGGTCAGCAGTTCGAAACCACCAATGGCTCCTCAGGAGAAAGCTGAAGTTTCTGTCTTGCGAAGATTGGCAGTCTCTGGAACCCTTACAGACATTGCTACTCTGTCTCATAGGGTCACTGCGGGCTGGAATGGACTTGACAGCAGTGAGGTGGTTTTTTAGCTGCTCTGTTGTTCCCATATGCTAACATACTTAATTCCTATATTAATTTGCAGATAAACAAGAGAGAGGTCAAATACTTTTCCAAAGTCCCACAGCTCTGGTGCAGGATTCGAATCCACAAAGTCTGGCAGCAGACGCTAAACCATTCTATTATCCTACCTTGTTTTTGAGAAAAAACAACTTCTAAATTTTTCAGCTAACTCTCCAAGGCTGCTGCGGGATTCCCCAAAAGCGAACAGCCCCTGTGGCTTTTCAGGACTGTAACTCTTTCCCGGAGTAGAAAGCCTGGCAGAGGGCTTTCTCCTGGAAGGACACAAACTGATGGCCTTCCAGAGGGACTTTATTCTAGGTCCTCACCTGTATATGTGACCCTCAGGATGTCCCTGTCCTCCAAGTCCTGAGGGTCAGGGACCCATTGTTCTTCCCCGCTTTCAGGTTGAGAAAGTATATCCAGTTTGGGGATTGGAAATCCTGCCCAGGGGAAAGGAAAATAGAGATGGCAATTAGTTAAAAAACAATTCAATAGATCTGAGAAAAAAGAAAAAAAAAAAAGGCTGTTTCCTAGAATATCCCTGAGAACTCTAGATAAGAGAGGACCAACTATAGACCTTCATTTTTTCCCCTTTCCCCCACTTCCCCCGCCCCCCACCCCTATGTCAGAAAAGTCCTTTTTTCTCCTAGAAAGGCACAGTTCTCTTCCCAGTGAGTCTGTCCTCTTCCATTGAAATCCTTCCAGCCCAACTTTCCTTTCTGGTCATCACTTCCTTTACTTCACTAGCTGTTTTCTCCCCTCCCT